AACTGCATTAAAATAATTAATTTTTTTTCTTTAAATTTATACGCATTATATTTTGTCAATAATCAATTGTAGCCATTACGAAGAAAATAATTACAAAAAATTGTATTATAAAAGAGAAAGAGAAATCATGTGTTTTCCTTTGTACACTGAACTTAATTGTTAAATTAACATATATTTGAATAAATGACTAAATTAATGCATATTTAATTCAATACTGTCAAATGAATCATTTATTAAAAACAAATAAATATTTATTTGTTTTGAAAAGAATTTTCTTATATCAAATAAATATTTTTCATATCAAATCAATATTATTCGTTTCAAATAAATTATTTATTTAGCAGTATTGAAATAAATAGTTATAGGAATTAATTAAAGTTTTTTTCAGTGTATATTTCACAAAACTGCATATTTTTTCTTTTTACGAAAACAATCTTTCTTTTTTTAGGATGCAAAACACTACAGCAATATAATAAACGTAATCGAGCAATTTGTAAGCAAATGTACAAAACAATAATATATATATAAGATTATATATATATATATATATATATATATATATATATATATATATAGACACAAGATCGACACAAACAAGTTCGAATATACAGCTACATATTTTTAAATATAAAGAACAATTTTAATACCATTATCTTTTGTATTTATATATTCCATATATATTTTATATTTATATTAATATATATATATATTTATTATAAAATATTATTATTATATATTTATATAAAATATATAATATTATATTCATATAATATATATTTCATATATATTATATATTCGTAACTGCATATTAAAAATATAAGCTAGACATCTTTCTTTCATTTATTCTCTCAATTATATTTATATAAATTTCGCATTTTGTTACGCGATCGCAACTAATGACAACTAATTGTAAGACTTTTAGGCTCTCAATAAAAATCATATTTGAATTTAAACGAGCAGATATGCAATTAATTAATTCTTCCTTGAAACTGACATCCGCCTCCGGCTCTTATTTGCCTATTAAAATAATAATGGGACTTCTAATTCTGATTAAATTAATCGTCGTAAGCAAATTCAGAATTAACGGCGATTAAAAATCTCGACTTGTCTTTCGCAGAAGCTTCCTGAGAAAGACTCGTCGAGGTGAAATGTGAAAGTAATATGCATATACTCTCGCGGTTTACACGCGAAATCTTACTAAACGAGTTACGCTAAACCAATTTCACTCATTTACTCGTATATAAGAAAAACAATCTTTCGCTGATCAATTACGAAAACAATACGATTCGATGAGAATTCATGTGTACACTGAAAAAAGACTCAATTAATACATATTTAGTTCAATTCTGTCAAATAATTCATTTATTTGAAACAAATAAATATTTGTTTGTTTCAAATAAATGATTTATTTGACAGTATTGAAATGTAAATATTTATAAAAATTAAGTAAATTGTTTTTCAGTGTGTTTTCTGCAAAAGAATAAGTCTGTTTCATCGTTATTATTACTTTTCATATACATACGCTTTGTGAAATTTTTATCGTTTATTGTTTGCGATATTGTTTGACGTGAAATGTTAAGTGTCCTTGTAAAAAAATTATCTTAATGTTTATTCATGTGTATCGAACCAATACTATTTTTTAAATGCATTTTCTACTTTATATATATATATATATATATTTACATTTTTATCGTATTTTTTTATTAGTATATTGATTTAGTTTCATTATTAAATAGTTTTATATTATTAGTTTCTCTAATATACATATATATAGATATAGATGATATATATATATATAAAATATATTAATATAATTATCACGTTTTTTAATATACAATATACTTATAATATATATTTATATATATTTAATTTATATTTATATAAAAATTTAATATATATATTAATATATATATATATATATATATATATATATTAAAAAACTGTTTAATATATATATTAGAAAACGCGATAAAAAAAAATAAATAAAAAAATATATTATTTATTACAATTAATAAAAAAAAAAAATATATACATATACCTATCTCCACCATTCAGCACTCCGCAACTATTAAAAACGCCGAATCTTCATTTTTACGATCCTCCACGGATGCATTTGGTTCTTAAACAGTTCTACGATACAATTATGGTAAATTATCGGGTAACGGTAATTAAACTGTCGTAAAAAAAAAATCATCCGATACGTTAATTTCTCGGGAACGGAACACAGATGAGCGCAAAAATCCGCGCACTATCTTCGCAAACAACTGTCACGTGTCTTTGTCATGCAAAATTATGTACAGGAAGCGAGCGCGTTTAATATATATCCGTCCCGCGCAAGAAACGAACTGTCTCGCTCGCAAATATGTCGCACATATAAATACAAAAGCACACACTTCGCGCATGATTGCTAATTTAGTTTAATGCTAATGCGCGATAATATGCTGTCAATATCTGTCAAGGTTCGGAGAGTCGATTTGAAAAAGCTTTTTGTGATAATGTTAATCGTGTCTCTTTTTTTTATCAGACGGAAAATGGAAAGTAAAATTTATATACATATATTAAACAAACTTGCGAGTGAAAGTGTAAATAATAAGAGCACGTGTTTCGAAATTTGTGCAGATCGATATTGTCAGATTATACGCGATTTATAACGTCCATTCTTGAGAAATTAAGGAATAAAATGTAGAATTATAAGTTAATGATTTTTTAAACTAAGTTAAGTTTAAATTAGTTGCTTATAAAATTAATTTAGTTAAGTTAAAAGTTTTATGAACAAAAATTAACTCAGTTAGAGTTAAGATTAAATAATCTGAAATTAAATCAAAAGTTAATTTTTAAAAATATTATTTATATTAAATTAGAATTTTGTTGGTAATTCTTTTAAAATTTATAATAAAGAAATTTTAATTCTTACATAGAAATATATTTTCTGGTAATTACAATTGATGACAAATAAACATAGAAATTAATAATACTTTATTTCAAAAATAATATACGTTTATAACTGAGAAACAAAGTTAATAAGTTTAAGGTCAAAAATAAGTTGAAATTAAAAATTAATACATTTTAAATTAACTAAGCTAAGTTATTAACTTTTCTTAGCTTTTAACTAATTCACTTATTACCCAACCCTGAATATAAGTAAGAGTTTTATAATATCATGAAAAAATAGAAAAACCCATGTGTGTATAGCTATATATGCAGTGCCGGATTTACGCATAAATTACACACATTATAAGGAGCCTCCTCGACAAAATATAAAACATTTAAACATTTTTAATATATTTTTTGTTAATATAAAATTGATATTAATATAATAAAAATGTATTTTGTCATAAAAATATTTTTCTATTTTTTATCAATTATGGTTTTTATGCTTATATCATAAAAAAAATTTATTACAATAGTTTCGCGGTCAGCCGAAAAGAAATTATAGTTTTCCTATTTTAGTTAAAATATCGAAAGTTGTTTATTTTGTAACTATGGAGATGATACGTTAATTCCTTCGCAAGAATAGTTGTATAAATAGATATAAAAATATATAAAAAAATACATTTGCATATTATTATTCGCAACGCGCGTCCTGTTTTTTTTACAACTGCAAAGAGGAAGAAGGGAGATGCTTGTAAAAAACATAGGGCCTCTTTAAGATCATATAGCTGAAGAACCACAAAAGTATAGATCGACCCTGTATATATGTATATATGTATCGTATATTGTAAAATGATTGCAAAAAGAAGAAAGAAACGAATTCAAGAAAAAAATAAAATAGAGAAAAAAAGATCGATTTTAGATAGAAAATGCGCACTGTTAACATCTTCTTAAGAAAAAAATATTGGATAGAAAATATTTCTATTTTTATTTTGTTCGACATAATACAATACTGTTCTTTAATCCCTAAAAAATAAAAGGAAAAAAGAGGTAAATCAAGTGTGGTCAAGATGGATCGGTTTTCGCATCTTGTGATCTATTCTTTTCTTAATTAAGTCGTTTTTACAGGACCACGAAGTGTGTCGGCAAACATGCCAAAAAATTCACGCAGAGGGAAACTAATATATATTCAAGCAATTTGCTTCCCTGCCGAGGGAAAAATCATAGATGGGAAAAAAGTTTCACCGTCAAAGATGTGTCTTTATTCTTGTGTGCTTTGAAATCTGATTTTTATATTGCTCTTCTGAATTTGACATAACATGTTTGACATATAGATGTAATTACGAGATTTTCTAACTCTTCAAATATTGTACACTGAAAAAAAAAATTATTAAACTAATAAATATTTATTTCAATACTGTCTAATAAATTTATTACGAATAAATTTTTTTTCGCGTTAAATCAATATTATTAGTTTCAAATAAATGATTTGGCAGTATTGCGAAATAAATACTTATTCGAATTCAATACATTTTTCTCAGAGTAAAATCAAATTACGAGATATAGATTATATATAAAATAATATAAAATAAGAAACTCAAAGAGAGAAGTATCGGGTGGTCGTGCACCCTGCGTCGCCGAAACTCTGCTTACAATATAAAACATTTTTTGTACCACAATTGATGGGACTTTAAAAAAATATAATTAAATTCATATAATAAACGTGAAAAAATTGTTTGAATTTAATTGTCTTTATTGTCACTATATCTTAGCATATTACAATATAAGCGCGTTCTTATTTTGCAATTCCCTTCAGTGACCTAATAGAAATTGTAATGAATATATTTATAAACTTGAAAAAATTATTCTAATTTAATTTTCTTATTTGTCGTCTTGTATTAGGTATATGCAACGTAATAAATAAGAGATCGATGACTTAATTTCTGAAAAATATGTATTTATATGTGATAATTGATACAAAAATATAAAACATTTATAATATATTAAATATATTAAATAAATAGATTATATTATAATATAAAAATGTATTATGCAAGAATATATTAATTATATTATAATATATTATAAATATATTAAATATATTATTTACATATAATAGTATTATTAATTCTTAATTGCTAGACTTTGCCTTAGACTGCTGGAAAAGTCTCTTTTGTGACTCGGTACAAATCTTCGAAATTGTGTACGATGTGTACTATGTGTATGTCATGACTGATGACATGACTGGTGAGTCACAAAAAATAGATCATTAGATAGATATGCCCTCTAGTTCCATGGATGATCTGGTCCGTCAATATTCTCTGTAAATCAAAAAAAGTGTGGCTATTATTAAAAACAAATCACTTATGGATGCAACTTTTACATCTTTCATGCTGCTGACTTTTCTTATCTGAGAATTCGATACAAGTTATATCGCAATCGAAAATACCAACAATAACTACGTATTGTTTGTCCACACAATCGTAAAATAATAAATTGTTACATTTGCGAAGAAAATTTGTGCCGAATAAGGCTTTTATTGTAAATTGCAATAATTTTGTCGTAATGGACATTAAATTGTAGTAATATTCACGAAATTTATTATATAAAATGTTGGAAATCGCATATAACATATATTGAAAAATTCCTAATATTAATGATAGAAAATTCTTGAGGATTTAAAATATTGAATATTTATATAATATAATATAATATAATATAAAGACACATGCACAAGATTTTCTCTGATGTGTTCAGGCAATAATTAGAGTATTTTCGTTGGTCAAGCAAATAATGTAGTTTTGCAAGCGATAAAACACAAGATTCATAAACATTACACAATTGAAAACATCGAGCGTGCGTATACTGTAAGAAATATGTAATATGTTACACAAAAATATGTAAAATTACATAAATAATAATTGATTTTTGATGATAAAAATAAAAAAGGAACAATGTAAAAGAGAGGGATAATATTTAAGATGCACGAAGCTTCTCAAAATTATCATCGTTTCTCGTAAAAAGATATGCAATATATTATATAAAAACATGTATATATAATTACAAATAATAAATGTAAAGTTACAAGATAAATAATGAAAATTATTATATATATGTATATTGTTCTTTAAATCTTTAACGCGCTGCGCCAAAATTTTTTGACTTTTAGATTGAAAATTAATCAGCTACGTCATTAATAATATTCATAGCGCGAAAAATATATATAAGTATAAAAATAATGAAAATAAATAGATATATTAAAATGAATATTAGTTGTTTCATTTCGAAATAAGTAGCACCTTGTCTGTGTATTGTTTATAAAATAAGAGCATGCAAAGCTATATACAAATATGCCGACATGCAGACACCCTTAGCATCTTTGTCCGTTTATTAAAACTTGTTTATACGGCTATTTAATCACGTGCGAATATATCGTTCGTTGCAACCGCGTGCTCAATCTCGAATCATTTCATATACTGCATTTTTCATGTCCAAGACCTCTTTTTATGAACAAGCATACACGTGCCACGCAGATATGTAAATCAATGCCGCGCTTCTAACTCGCGGAATTTTATAAAAGTTCTTTTTAAACCGGCTACAGAGATATTCCACCAATATTTTTAACCAAATAAATCGGAATCTATTTTTAATTGCTCAATCTTAACATTAAACGTACAAAAACTCGCGAATATATTAAAAAATGTTATTAAATTAAGAAAAATAATAAATAAATTTAAAAAATTAATAAGAAATTAAAAATAAAAATTAATGTAAAATTAATAATAAATTATAAATAATAATTAAAAATAAAGCGATAAAAATTAAATAAATTCTTTTATCGCTTGGTAAAAATCCTTGATTTCTATTTTTATTTTCATCGAATTGTAAGTCAAAGATGTGTGTTTGAGCATTTGAGCAATTATCACGTTATTTGGAAAATTCGACACAAATGAAATTGTTTCATTCCGACGTGTTTGGGCAACAGATTCTGTATCTAGACTGTTTCTCTTCAATTTCAGGTGTTTGTATTAAATACAAACGTGCTTCTGATATACAAAAATAATGCAGAATTTTTTTACGCAAACATATTTAAAATACTTCATAATTTCGTAATTCGACGAATGCTTCGAAAAATCATTTTATTTTTATTTTCAATATAAATTGTACTATATTTTCTAAAATTTCGTTCTATATAAATATCCCTGTTTTGCATAAATAGAGAATACGGAAGATATTCCTTCCAATTAGCAATTGTAATTGCAATTTCTTATTTATGCAGGATTTTTCCAAATTACTGAATATTCTTTTTAATGAAAAAATTCTCTAGTTAACTTGGGCAAATTTTTGTTTAACAAAAATGTAAAAGTATATCTATATTTTTCGAGTTGAGATTCAAAAAGGGCTTTTTATTAACTAAACTTTATAAAGTTAAAAAATAACAAAATTATATTTTTCAATCAATTTCGGAAATTTAATTCAATAAGATTTTCATTTGACGTTTAGTTCCAAAGATACTTATATGATGATAAAATGTGAAAATTTGTAGAAACTGATCTTTTTCGAATTTTCGCTGACAAATCGACTTTAAAGCCAGAGAGAATCTGCTATTAAAAAGGCATATTCAATAATTTATAATATATATATATATATATATATATATATAATAAAAATATTATCCATAATATTTTGTACATTATTGCAGCATATAGAAGAGAATAATTTTTCAAAGAGTTTATAGCGTGCGAATAAAATGTTTTATTACTGCGAAATTGCATCGTGCTGCTTTTCAGAAACATGCTTCTCTTGATTGAAGAATTAACCGAAGAATAACATAGATAGTTTCGAAAGTGAGCAAAACCTGCGCGTTTCAACCGTGTCCCGTTGTATATAATACCAATAAGAGAAAGTGATTAAGATCCTCCCTTTCGCTATAAAAAACACATGACCGTCCGAAATAGAATTATCATATTTTAGGTAATAACAGATTTATTAGAAAATACCAGGGTTGAGTAAGTTACTGATTTTTTAAAACTAAGTTAAGTTAAAGTTAGTTGCTTACAAAATTATAAAAGTTTTATGAACAAAAAACTAACTCAGTTAAATTAGAATTTTGTTTGCTAATTCTTTTAATATATATAATAACAAAAAACAAAGAAATTTTGATTTTCATATAAAAAAATATATTTTTTGGTAATTACAACTGATGACAAATGAACATAAAAATTAATAATACTTTAATTTAAAAATAGTACATTTATAATTTATACAAAAAAACAATATTATTATATTTTAATATAATATAATCGAAGAAACTCATTATTAATTCTTTCAAATAAGTATAGAAATAAATAAGAAATATATGTCGGCTCTCAATATTATTAATAATAAAAACACATGAATTTTTAAATCGGCCAATAGAGCCCAAGCGCAAAAAATTAATTCCTCGAAACTGTATCTCTTGGTTTGAGATTACTAAGTTCCATATATAAATTAATCCCGAACTTGCATATAAAGAATAATAGGCGAGAAAAATATAGGTCCGAAAAGTCGCTGAAGCGGGAATCGAACGCGCGTCTTTCACTTTCCGGGCGACTGCTCTTACCAATAGAAATAAAGCGTAAAAAAATGGACAAACTAAAAAATAAAAAATTAATAAAATAAAATAAAACAAAATAATTAAAAATTTTGTTATATGGCAAAGATATTATTATATTAAAATTCTTCTGTTAAAATAATGTCTATGAAGATTTTAGCATGGATTTTTTGACGATACGATGACATTAATTCTTGAAAACAAAGAGCATTTTTTTCTGCATAAAAATATAATGCATGGATTTCAAATCTTGCATTTCTCACGATATTATCCTTCGTATTCCTTTATATTATATATTTTATTATATTTAAGGATTTATTTAAAGATTTATTCATTCTAAAGGTATATTATTTAAAAAATATATATTTTAATAATCCATCAAATTATTATGCATATAAGACATGATAATTTTCCGTTCATTAAACATAATTATTATGCGATAATGAGAATTTTTGTCAGATCAATTGTCGTTCGTTTTACAAATATCTAACTACAGTACGTTTTAAAAATATCTAACTATAGTACGTTTTAAAAATATCTAACTACAGTACTACAGATCGATCTATCAATATTTTCATATAAAATTTATGACGGAGAGGAAGGATTCAAGAAATTGATAGAAATCATACCAACAATCCAAAGTCTACGCTACAAGATTTATCAAAAATTGTCGAGCCGAATAAAAAAATTTAATGAAAATGACTTACTTGGCTCGTCAAGATTTCCGCTTGTTTCGACCTCGACATTCTGCATAACGTCCAGATCGTCCAAGAATATTATTGAACTCTCAGGTATAGAGGGTTCTATTACGAGAGGTTTCTCTTGCTGTTCCTCTTCACAATCCGATGAGGCGGTTAAAGTTGAAGAAGAATTTAATTCCTCTTCTATATCCATATCGCTCATTACATCCTCCTCGACATTCTGCTTGTCCAAATTGCCCAACGAACTTGCTGAACTGGAAGGTATAGAGGGTTCTATTACGAGAGGTTCCTCTTGCTGTTCCTTTTCACAATCCGAATAGGCGGTTAAAGTTAGAGAAGAATTTAATTCCTCTTCTATATCCAGATCGCTCGTTACATCCTCTTCCTCAGAGTTATACACCATAGATATATCTATATCTTCTAATATATTATAATACGGCTCAGATGGGTTTGCCGCGTCCACAATCCTTGGTTTTTTAGGGGGGTTGTTTTCCCTGCCAGGATTATTCATCATGTCGCGTTGTAATATTGTCGCGCAAATCTGGGATTTCCGGGCACTCTCAAGAAATATATGGGGTGGTTGAGTAGCCGTCGATTAAATCCGTCGATGATTTTCACATGAAGCACGTGCCAGTCCACTTTGAATATGATATGCAAAGAAAACTTTCTGTTAATTCGTAACTCTGGTCACTCGTTACTATCTTCACTGTTCACTGAAGACATGTATATCTGAGAACGATCGCAGACCACAGAAGAAATGATACTCCGAGACCTGAGATACTCGCCCTTTGCCTGTTTAAGAATTAGTGAAAACTGTTGCGTCGAACCTATGTCCCGAAAGAAGACATCTCCCACTATAGTCCTTCGCTATTGTCATCCCCGCTATACTAAACTAACAACTGATGCGAAAAACTTGCACCTATCCACGACGGCGCATCGCCTAAGCTCCTCCTTACAAAATTCGGATTCGGCAGTTTGTAGAGAAAAGAATTTTTTTCCCCGAGTCTAGCGAAAAATCATGCATAGCGATTATAGCTCCGCAGAGTCGGCCGTAACAGCATATTTCGCCTGCCTTTTCGATTTAATTAATTGAAACAAATCATTCTAATAATATATAAAAATTCGTAATTTATTTATTTATTTCATTCGTTTATTTATTTATTTCAGAATAAAAGAATTTTTCGTGAAAATAATCTTTGCTAAATTATTTTTAGACGACAAATCATTTTCAGGGGGACAAGAAAAGTTGATTTTTTACATTTAAAACTAAAACCTTCAAAAATTTAATTGCAAAAGTAGTATTTTCCATAAGAGATTTGTGAAAAAGATAGAAAAAATATGCAATTTCGGATTTTTTTCCTGTCCCTAAAAAGTATTAGTCGCCCAAAAAATAATTTAGTAAAGATTATTTTCATAGAATTTCAAAGAATGCTTTTATTCTATCATTTTATATCATAATGGTTCTTGAGTTTTGATGTAGGTATATCTCTGTCTTTGACGATATTCAATTATAAAATATATTTTTAGTTTCATAATTTTTGAAGGCAGAAACACATAGCGATACTTCCCAAAACGTGAATATTTATCTATTTTTCCGTGAAAAAATATTGATTTGCGAACGTATAGGTATAGTTTACGACATGTAAATGCTGTCTATTCCAACGATTACGTAAAAACAAAAATAAATCTTTGTTTCCAAAACATTAGGATTACTATAATATTTGTGATCATTGAAACTTGCGAAGTCAATTTTTTACCGAGTTTCACATTTCATGCTGCGACTTCCTTTCAATCGACTAATCAAAACTGACTAATCATCGGATCATAAAATACGAGTGAGAAATAGAAAAATATGAGTAATTTAATGCAAAAACACAAACAAATGTTTAACAATATAACTTTGTAAAGTGGAAACAAAAGTATCCATTTCATAAATAAATAAATAAATAAATATATATATATATATATATATATATATATATATATGTTGTGCTTACTACATACTTTTAAAATTAGCTAGATAAAAATGAGATAAAAATATGTAAATTCATCTTAAGATAAAAATAATTTTGTTTTAAATACATCTAGATAAAAGATAAAATTATAAGGCGATTCATCAAGATAATTTTCTAGACTGCTTGTGTAAACACAGTTATCAGAAAAATGTAAATTATAAAAGAAATATAAAAATATATGTATTCATATTTTTCATTAATAATACATATTTTTATTATCTATATATAAATAAGATGCCGCCAAAGTTTTATCTAGATGATCGTCTATATAATTTTATTTAGATAACGGCAAACACTGTGTCTATAGTAGAAAACAAATTCCTGACGAAGACATATTTTAGTTTAAAAAAAAAAAACGTGATTAATGATTGCAGAAACATAAATTTTGCAAATTATTCGACAATTGACTGCGAGACATAAGACTCTAATTTACGTTACGGATTTACAAGTCGATCATGTGCTTCGTTCAGTGCTCAAATGCACGGGAGTAAAGTTCAGAAAACCATCGTCATGCTCAAATGCTTTCCCCTTGACCTCTTGTAAATATTTCATGGGATTGATATTCAACGATATAGAATCTCCCCTTTGTATACTTGTGCCAATGATTTCAAAACCTTCCGTGATACTTTTTAGATTCGTATTAAGCGTATGATGCTTCATTATTAAATAATATCATTTTGCTACACTGTAAAAAAAATTGTCAACTTAGCTAAACCTTTCAACTAAATATTATTTTGTTAATTAAACATATAAAAACATTTAAATTAAATCTAAGAAAACGTATATTTGACTTAAATACTAATATATGTTCAATTAATAAAATAGTGATTTAGTTGAAAGATTTAGTCAAGTTAACACATTTTTTACAGTGCAAACATCGACAAGATTTAAAAAAAAATAAGCCAAAAATATTAAGTAAAATTTTTCTTATACAAGATTTTGTCTTTAAGAAAAATAACTTGTTTTATTAAAAAAAAACAGCGATATTAAAATATATATTTTTTACATATCTTTTATATATTACACTTTGTAGTAACCTAAGTTATTTTAAATCGCTTTATTACATTAATGGAAAAATAATGCACTTTTTTAATTAGAGCATTATCTCACGCTATGAGCGATAAATTTAGTTTTACTTTATGACATTAAATCATTTTTACAATGTTTTCAACTAGCGAGTTTATGCTAATAGCTTTAAAACTTTGATGCTTTACCTGATGACAGTACTCGATTTCAATATCGATATCTTCGAGAATATTTACTTCCTTTTCATCCTCCGAACTCCACTCCATTTCTGTATCAATATCTTCTTAGATATTGTAAAATGTTCTGTAGGATTTGCTGCATCAACAATCATTTCATCGTTGATTCATGAAATGATTGTTGATGCCGCAAACCCAACAGAACCACATTGTAATATTGTTGTCCGCGCTGCTGAAGCTGCAGCCGACACTCGCGAGGGCCTTCCCGTATTGCTGCTGGTATTTCTTGGCGTCAGCCTCTTTCATATTATTCTCGCAATTGTTATTTGCGTAAGACTAGATTTCGTGCATCTCGACGTCATTCTCGCTGTGCATCTCGTAATGATACCCTCCCGTCAAGTGAAGAATCTCCTGAGAAGCTATGCATGTACAGAAAAACCGGACGTCGAAGATTGTGCGAGAAATTCACCTATATTTCTTGAAGAATTTTGGTCTAATTCGCGATTGTCATTCGAAAATATTAAGTAAAATTTTTCTCATACAAGATTTTGTCTTTACGAAAAATAACTTATTTTAATAAAAAAAAAAAAAAAAAAAAAAAAACAGCGATATTAAAATATATATTTTTACATATCTTTTATATATTACACTTTGTAGTAACCTGAGTTATTTTAAATCGCTTTATTACATTAATGGAAAAATAATGCACTTTTTTAATTAGAGCATTATCTCACGCTATGAGCGATAAATTTAGTTTTACTTTATGACATTAAATCATTTTTACAATGTTTTCAACTAGCGAGTTTATGGAAATAGCTTTGAAACTTTGATTCGCGCTTTCTTCCGTTTTCCGCTTAATTTAATAAAGTAGATCTTTATTAAATTACATTTTTAAAAAGTGAAAAAAATGTTACTCCTGGATAATCCACAAAAAATTCGTAATCGATTTTAAAGAGTGTCATTTAAAATAACGAAGAGAAAGAGAAAGATATTGTTTAAAAATTGCAATTTTTACTTACGAGAAAAGGGATGTGGAGAAAAGTCTTTCAATTAAACCCTAAATATTTTTCAAATAATAAAATTCTTGCTTCATTAATAGATTTATAAAAAATAATAAATTTATTAAAATCAAAATAAAAACATTCAAAGAAATTCATCGAATTTTATCATAGCATAATTAAAATTTAAATTTTTCGAAATGTTCATTTTCTATCCTTTATTATTTTTCATTTGTCAAATAAAAATATTAGCAATAACGTAAGAAATAAATAACATTCTTGCAGTTTCAATCCATATAGAGTAAAAAAATTTATGTCGAGTTTTGCTATTCTTTAGCGAATAACGGTTCTTCCTTTAAAACAGATATAGCAGTTAAATTTTTTGAAAAGTACATAAATTTTCCTGTCACCTATTGTGTTTTTCAATTTTTATATGCGTGTGGAGTGTCATAAAACCATTACCGTAAACTAAAGAAACGCGTGTCGAATTTATCTATTCTTTTGCCACAAATAATCTTATTTTGAAACCAAATTAGAAGATATATTCTGTAAAAATATATATATATATAAGTTTTATTACAAAAAATGTTCCTACTGTTTATTGCGTCAAGTTCGCACGACGAATTTCGAAAAAATACTAACCATAAGTTAGCACCAAAAGATGGTGTTCACTAAGAAGGACAGCTTTTTTACACGGATCATCAGACACTTGAAAAGGACCCGTACCTAAGGGTCGAAACGTAGTGTTTCAAATTAAATTGTACTGGCCAGTTAGGTCAAAATTTCAATAAATACGTATAAATTAGCATGGTAAAAACTCTCTGAAAAAATGTTTCTATAGAACTATAAAGAACTGCCGTTAAAATTGCGGGAAATCTAATACGCGACATATTTTCATCAAATGTCATGTTGGCCGTAATTGTCAAAAATTATAATTTAATACAAATTACATATTTTTAATAATTTTCAATATAAATTATATATTTAAATAATAATAAATGGTCGGAACTCTTTGAAAAAATGTTTTTAAGTTATAGAATTCTTATAAAACTAGAAAAACACCGTCAAAATTGCGGGAAATTATCAGCACGACACATTTTCATCAAATGTCGTGCTGAACGTGAGTATTAATTATTAAAAATTATTAATTTATGAAATATCGAATTGAAATTGTATTAAGAATAACGTAAGAAATATAGAACATTCTTGCAGCTTCAATCCATATAAAGTAATTCATATAAAGTAAAAAATTTATGTCGAGTTTTTCTATTCTTTAGAGAATGACGATTCTTCCTTTAAAACAGATATAGCAGTTAAATTTTTTTTGAAAAATACATGAATTTTCCTACAATCTATTGTGTTTTTCAATTTTTATATGTGCCTTAAAACCATTTGTCAAAAATTATAATATTCAACGCATTTT